GTAGTTACTCATCCTGATTTGAATAGGTTCAAAAGACGAGGACAGAGTAAGAAAACACGCACGACGGACAAGCGCTGACTCCGAATTGATATGTTTATTGAAACCTCAAACGACACAAAAAAAAACATCCCGCCCCCCTCCCCCCCTCCCACATCGCTCATGCGCACCTCACCCCCTTGTTGTCAAAACCATACATCTTAAAAACAGTAAAATCACGATGTTTCCGTGCTGACACGTGTTGTTGCTATTTGGAAACTCCAACGCATCCTCAGTAACTGCAAGAATAGGATGGCTGTTTTGTGTGCGTTCAAATCAGGATGCATTGCAAAGCTGCCCGAGTTTTCGTTGTAAAAGCATATTTTGGACTTAAAAACAAACGAAACATAACTTATCTCGCCGGTACTGTAATAAACACCAATACCCTGTAAAAATCTAGGCGTATAACCATGAGGTCACGTGTCTAGGGGTCAAAAATGTGCAACATGGCGGCTGCGGGTGGGGTCACTTTCAGCTGCCCGTTTATCACTCTAAGCCCCTTTACCTCACTGATGCTGCCGAACAAATCTTGAGTCTTGTGAGAGTGTACGTGTAAACAAACGTATTTTAACCTGTTCGAGCTACAAACAAATCCGCATCCGGCTGATGCGAAGATTTGTAAAAAAAGACCTCAAACAGATCTGGCGAATGACGGCTTTTACTTGCAGAAGAGCCATACGAAGCGCCCACAGACAAACCTTCCAACACACGTGCAACTTAGAGGGGAGAGGTTAGAAAAGGGGGGAAATCATTCCCGGCCTTGCACACAGGATAACTTTACCGGCAACCTCGTAAATGCTGGCTGGTTTTGAATATAATCCAACCGGTACATTTTGAACTATAACGTGAGGTAGAGGCACGAATTCCGAATAGATAAATTCACCGTTTTGAGGGCGCGCACAGCGCCACCATGATCTGGTTGGCGTGGAATGGCGTTGAGGTGCTCAAGGCAAAAACAAAAAGTAATACACAAAAAAATATTAAAAAAAAAAATTAATATTTAAAAAAAAATTAATATTAAATTGTTTTCAGTTTATGAATCCTATTATAAAACATCAATCAATCATTTGTCAAACTAATTAGAGGCGCGAAAATAACCGCCTAAAATTTAAACACATTAAAATATTTGTATTTGATATATTGAGCGTTTACTTCAGCATAGCTAAATAGTGTTAAGTGTATAGCCACGCAAAACGTTGACTACACCACCATCAAAATGTTTTTTTGTTTTTTTTTTATTATTGCAGGGCTCATTTCTTAGACTACAATCTGGACAGGCTTCGAAGCATTTTGTTTACGGAGTGTCTTATCTGTGTGCATGCTCTACAAACCATTTTTCAAGCTCTTGTAATTTTGGCTGAGTTATGAATTTAATAACGACTCCGAAGGGTGAATGAAGAAATTATAAACCAGAAAAAGTCTAGTTCTAATTAAAAATAGTTTCCCTTTGCATTTTAATAAAAGTATAGGAGAGCTATGATTTTAATGTATTTGTTTTGCGAGGGAAGGAACGACGGACTATCAGCTATTCATCTACTATGCATACATCCACAGCATTCATAATGTCTGTATCTTGTTGCCGTGGCATGTTGCCGTACTTCGCGACTCTGCTCTTTCAGTTCTGTAGTCTGCTGCATGATTTTTGTGCCATTATATGCTTGTTATGAACGATTGTTTTGAGCTTAGCCATCTCCAGTTTCTGATGATCTTTGCTAACAAAAAGGTAGCTGGCACTGAAAGGCTTCTTTGAAGCTTCTTTTTCACAAAGCTAGACAAATAAAATCCACGAGTTATTTTAAAATTACACCTACTTAGTTATTTGGGGATGGCAAACAAAACAAACACATCGATAGCCGTATCCGATTGTATGACTTTCTTATTAATATAAAAAGTCAAACGCTTTTAGCTGCAAAAAGTTAAAGCCTAATTCCCCGTTTGGAATAACACTTCATTTTACGATAACAATTCGGAATCATTGAAAAGACGCCTTTTTTATATTTCTGGCTCTCACTTTCGCACAAGCGTCAGTGGTGAACTAAGTCTACCGCCACCAGAGGAGCACAAGTATTGAAACGCGTGTATGGGTAAGGAGGCATTGGTTGCCCTGTATTTATTCTTTTTTTCTTTGCTTTACCCAGAATGTTGTTGGAGTTTATAATGCACGGCTGAACAGAAGCAGACTCTTATTCTAAGCTGCTTTCTCATTTTATCAGAGTTAATGAAGCGGCATGTAATTTCCGCTCAAGGTTCAGTGGCCTATTTTACGCGGTAGTTGTCTATGAACCGATTCATGTGAATAGAAACTTCGGCTTTTTATCAAACGGAAAATAACATTTTGTGCACTTTTTTATTGTGTTGACGTAAACACCACCAATGCCTTTCAAGCAGGATACAAATTAGGACGGTACTTATAGATAGAAATGCGATTTCTTCAGTAACTAGCCTATTCTTAATCTCTTCGTCGCTTTTTTTCAGATTTTACTCTAAATTGCATTTTTTAATCTGTCGTGAGTTAATAAAACGTCTACAGTAAAACAAATATTACAGTACATGTACTGCCATCTCTCGGCAGCGCCGACTAAGCTCTGAACGGTCCTGGGTCATCCAAAACAGCCAAGGGGCGAATGAGGGTGCGCGGACGAGTTCTGCTCGTCCTTTACGGCTTAAGGGTGGCTGTATGTGGACGAGCTAGTCTCGTCCAAAATGTATAAGGAGTTAATGTTGTACATAAAATATTCATCACGCGTATTGATGGTACACCAGGTGTCCAGAGAAAATGTCCACTTACAGCCATGCATAAAATATTCCTTCACATAAATTTAAAATTATAAAAAAGTAAATGTCCCCCAAAGTATTTACATAATAGACCGGTACCTGCAGGTACTGAAATGAGTGATAAAGCGCAGGCGACCTGATTTACGTTCATGACTTAAGACAGGGGAAATAAGAAGGGCAAACAGGACAAAGTCTCAAAACACAGCGGCGAATCTATTTTTCTGACTCGTCCTTTTTATAGAACGACACCCACCATCACCGGAACTTCTTACCGTCAGCCCCACGATAGACATCCAATGACGATGGAGGGAGGTCTGACAAAAAGGACAATTATATGTCACGTGTCTTTTTTTGTCGGAACTCCATCCAACGTCATTGGATGCCTATCGTGGGGTTGATGGCAAAAAGTTCAAGTGATGGTGGGGGTCATTCTATAAAAACTACGAGTCAGAAAAATGAATTCGCAGCTGTGTTTTGAAACTTCGTCGTGTTTGTGCTTCTTGTTTCCCCTGTCTCGAGTTTTCTTAAATCAAGAGTTGCAGGTAGCTTACAACTAGGACTTGATATTAATTTATATTTGTCAAATGGCGACGGCAACTTTGGGATTTGCAGCAGCGAGGCACTACCGTGCTAAGGAGATGTTCCAGAGCATTAATAACTGATGAGAACAGATCGAACGGGTTAACAGTTGATTAAAAGGCAACTCCGCTTAATTTCAAAAATTTTGAGATAGTGGCCGATTTTGCTTTTTGAAGCACTCAAAAACAATCCCCGATCTTTTGTTTCGCGAAAAATAAAATATTTTTCGTGTAATTTTACTCTAGCCATGATCACAAACCGAAACCGAAACGGTGGCAAAGCCGGACAACATTGTATATTCGGCATCACTAAGCATGTACACCCACGTGATATACAAGGGGAAGAAGGAGCTCCCCTCTTATCAGGATCCTCCTTTGTGCCTCCTGGATTAGCACAGGCGTCGCTATCTCCTCCCAGAAGGTTATAGAAGATTAACCTGTCACTCAAAATTCTTACAAAAGCAGCCTCCCTCTCCTCCTTTTACTTGGTGTTCAAAAGTATGCGCACTGAACACACAAGCCGCGCTCAACGAGGCGATCGGCTTATCAGGAGTATCAATAGTCGAGCGCCGGGCCGGCCGAGCGCGTCACTCACGTCTTTCACGGCGCTGGCGCCACCCGTGCTCTCTCCGGGAAAGAAAACAAAATTGAAAAAAAAAAAAGAAGCTGTACATGTTTGATGACGTCGCGGACGTGCCGGGAGAAGGAATTTGGAGGAAGCGGAAATGCAGCCGGGCAGTGTTGTCTGGCCCGCATGTCTCATTCAAAACCAGCGGATTCGTGCTTGTTAAACTTTGACAGCGATTTTAATGAACTTCTAGGCGGAATTCCGTCGTAATACTTGCCATGGGGGTTTTGTAGATGATAACAAAGAGAACTGTATAGTTTTGTACTACTGGAAAAGAAGCGGAGTTGCCCTTTAAATGACTCTTCTTATGCCATTCCCTTTATGTTCATTCCCTTTATGACACTTAATTGGACCACAAATGAGCAATAAATGCCATTCCCTTTATGAAGGGCTTGGCGCAACCAGTATTCTAATACCCCATTCACACGACCATAAAGGTACCTTTAGCTAAGAAACCTTTATTCTCAGCGGCCAATCAATTAACGATCTTCCGCGCGTGGCGTGTGCTGGCGACTCAAGAGCACGGGCTGATTCGCCGATAGCAAAGGGACCTATGTTAAAAGTACCTTTATGCTGACCGTTTGAATGGGGTATAACTCCAACTAGGCTCTACCACTTTCAACACCGTTTCGATCCCTCCTGCCCTAGCTGTCCCTCCCTATACGCCAATCTGAAACATTGTACTTATCCCACCCCTATACCTCCCTAACTCCCCTCCCACTTCCCGGAGTGCCTGGCTAGTGTCGGACCAACTAGAAGATCAAAACGCCTTAGCACACCGAGAAATGAAAACATTACACACTTAATTTGTGCTCATTATTACAGTGCATTTTTTTTTATTTCTCTCTCTCCGTTTCTCTCTCTCTCTCCCTCGGACGCCGTTTCTTGACTTTGAAGCAGCAATGATGCTCGTGCAAGAAAAAAAAAAGAAAAAAAACATTAGGGCGACGTCTTCTGCCAGCACCTGAATGTTGGCCGAACGGCTACCCAGTTTCGTTATACTGAGAGCAATTTCTTGGCTGGTCATCGCCCGAGTAACTGACTGGAGAGTAAGTCCGCCATTCCTGCGTCCCGGAAGTGTCCGGCGCGTACTCCTTGCAAAGACTGGTGAGCAAAGGGATGTAGATCCTGCAAGAGAAAAACATATTTATAAAAAGACAAACATCATGTTTTTTATTGGTATCAACTTTGAGATATATACAAACGGTGACTTAATCATATCTGCGAAATGTACGCATCTAAAGACAATCGCTTCATCTCTAATTTATCTTATTTTTATATCTGGGATGCTTCGTACGGCGGTAGTTGCTCGTGCCACTTAATGGCAAAATCCGGCTGCAATCATACTCTAAAATCCACGTTATTAAGGGGGGAGAGATAGCACCGCCGTGCTATCTCTCCCCCCTTCTTTTCACGGCGATGGAAATTTCTTTCCATCGCCGTCGACCCTGGCACAACGACGACATCTGTTCCAAGACGTGCTGTCGCTCTCTCTGCCACCCCCCCCCCCCCCCTCCCCGGCCACCCGCGTCTACAAAAAAAAGTAGTGGCCGCGGGCGTCATCTTGCTCAGTCTCCCCATCCCCCAAAGAAACATGGCCGGATCACGCGCAAGATACGCTCTCGTATAAGGAGCGCGGGATTGGCAAGCACGCCGCGCTAAGGAGAGTAGGTGGAAGGACTCAGCAGCACGAGAACAGAAAAGTGACCAAGACTCCGACTATCATGCGCGAGAAGTAGTGCGTAAACGCCTTTTCCACATCTCCTGTAGCACATCTCCTACAACTGTTCTATTGAAGCCAAAGCTCCGAAAGCAAATATCATAGAACATGCCAACTAAAGGCACATCTTCTGTGCTTCAGGAGATCTGGAAAAGGCTCTCCGCCTTTTCCACATCTCCTTTAGCGCATCTCGTACAACTGTTCAGTGAAAACCAATGCTCCGAAAGCAAATCTGCTAGAACACGTGGACTAAAGGCAATTCTCCTATACAGAACATCTCTGAACAACGTTCAAGCCTTTGTTTGAAAGGTACCCGGTTTAGTGCTGTCTGTGATTCGGGTTAACATTAAAATAAATCTATAGATAAAGATTTCTTCCTAAAGATTTCTTCCTAAAGATTTCTTCCTAAAAATTTCTTCCAGTGAAGCTTCAGTTTTTCTTGGTCAAAGAAAAAGTTCAATACTGTTGTGTTTTTTCTCAATAATTTTAACGCAACCCCATCAAAGGTTACTTTTCAAATTGCATGGATACATGTTAAAATCAGACGTAATTTGTAATATGCGTAAATTAGCCATGTCTGCTGCCTAAAGTTCATTGTAGGCGTTTGAGAACCACCGTTGATTTGACTTTGCGTACAGGAAGCTGCCATTTCTTTTGTTACCATTTTAGAATTATGTCTGATAATAAACCTGCCTGCCATGCGGTTTCTTCGGGAACTATAATATCATTTTTCCTGTTTCTATTTAACCAAAGTTTCTGAACACTTAGTTTCGGAGATTGGGAAAAACCAGTGTTCTTGAAAATCACGAGCAATTATCTTTTTTTCTCTTAGTTTGAATCCGCTGCGGTAAAAAAAAGGTATATGCAAGAAACATTAATATTTTAAGAACAAACTAATGAGCAATGTAAACGTTGAGGTAGATGTTGTTCACTGAATTACCACACGTCATCTACCAAAAACGAAAACAAATGGACAGCGACCTTCATCTCCAATGTCCTCTAACGCTTAAAATAGAATATTTAAGGGGCGATTGCTGTAATATGTTTAGAAGCCAGTAAAGGGTATATTGTATACGTAACGTGTCATCAATAAGTACAGTATACTCTGGAGCACTGAAGAGAAAAAAGATGGCTCGCGAGGGCACGCGAGGAGAGGTAGGCACACGCGGCAGTTGGAGCCTGTAATATAGGTGATAAGTTAAAGTGACCACGAAACGAATTTTCGGCTGGAGTAAATTGAGATTTTTTTAATCGCATACCCTTTAGTGCGCTAAAATAAACTACTACAGGAGAGTAGGAAGCCTAAATACTGCTTTTCAGTATCCAAAATTAAAATATAGATTACTATTTCTCCTTTTTTTAATAGGTTATTTCCTTCAAATCAGGGGGAGGGGGAGGAATAAAAAAATGCTGCCATTTCAGTTTTACGAGGCTTCTACCTCTTACAGTACTGCGCAAAGCAGAACATTTTAAAATGCGCATACAGAACCAAACCAGTGAATAACAAGCGAGGGGGAGGGGGGAGGACAGAAAGAACTTGTGTTTCAGTTTTACGAGGCCTCTACTTCCCCCTACAGTACAGCGCAGAACAGGACATCCGCAAATTCACGTGCAGAACCAAACCAATGAATAACAAGCACCTGTGCCAGATTAAATGTGGTTGAAAACAATACTATCTACGTCTAAAATGACTTTTGCACATTTTCAACGTTATTCATAAACGATATCCCTAGCCACCAGGAGTTCTTTAATATTTCTCCTGAAAATATGAAACACTCAAAGTTTACTCCTTCAATTAGAGTTAACAAGGAGGAAACTTTATAGTTAAAGTGTCGCTTGTGGTAATTTGTTCTAACTTTGGATTTTTTTTTAGATATTTTCTTCGCAGGGCACGTCCTGAGCAAACGCTTCTTTGGGGTTTAGGTATAGCTTCTTTTCTTTAATAAGCTGAAGAAATTTAAAGATCATATTTGATAAGCCTTAAGTAGAGTGTATTCTTCCAAACAGTGGGTCTGTACTCAAGTCTCGCAAGTTAGCCTGAAAATTATCGAGCATGCGGTGTATCTGTTTTTGAAGCATTCGTTTTTTGTTATAGATCGCCACAAAATCGCCCCACACTAATGCACCGTATTAGAGTTTGAGTAACACAAAGAATAATATTATACAATTTTTAACATAGAGGGAGTAGGTTATGAATTCTATAGGCACATCCTATTGATTTTGATAGTTCAGAACCAGGGTCGTTTGTATGCGTCGACCGCTTGAAGTCCTCATTATACAATACACTTGGTATTTTGTCCTTTGACCTGGTCTAAAGGCATTCCATCAAAATTAATTAGTATAGACGTTTTGTCTTGCATGTTGATTGGACGAAATATGATGTGTTATAACTAAGTTATAATATTTTACAGTTAAGCAAGCTTTCCAGCTTTTCAAAGTATTCGTTGGCCATTATGTGTAATGTATATTTAGACTGTGCTTTGAACAACGCATCCGTGTCGTCTGTTTACATTATATGTTCTGGAGAATCCTGCATGTCTGCCATGTCATTTACTTAAATAAGAAATAACAATGCGCCTAGAATGAATTCGTGCGACACTCCGTATTGTAACTCTAACTCATCAGAAGCTGCATAATTTAAATCCAGATATTAATATCGATTCTTTAAATAACTTTCAATTAGTTTTAGTGCCAGGCCACGTATTCCATTATATTGAAGTTTAATCAATAAGATATTCAGCTGTATTGTGTAAAATACAATTGTAAAGTCTAAAAACGAACATTGTATAAAATCTATCTTCAATATTCTTTATAATTTTGCCTTTTCCGTGGAGTAGGGCTTGTACTGTAGATTTAGGGTTTTGAAATTCATATTGGTGCCTCATTTATCATATGGCTATTATGTGTACATAAAAACACCTCTAATTTAGCGTAATTACATTTTCAAATATTGTTGAATGAATTGGCGGAATTGAAATCAGCCGAGGATTGAACAATTTATTTTTCCCCGCGCTGGGCTAACTCCAGCAATATTTAACTGGTTAGGAAATATTCCCGTTTGTAGCACATTATTTGTTATCTAAGACAAAATCTTACTAAGTGTTTTTGAAACGTTTTCAGTGCAAAGCCGTCAATGTCGAGAACATTTTTTTAGTATATTAATCATTAAACTTTTATAGAATTAAGCAAAGTTTTTGCCCTGCCCATGACAAAATCAACCAGGTCATGCTCTGTTTCACATTCGCTCACACTAAGAAACTGGATTCATTATATTTGCAATATCTTTCCATTCAATTTTTTATTATCGATAATAATTTCATCAATACAACAAAACAAAAGACAAAGCGTGAGCCGCCCCAGTCGGGCATGCCCATGATGTGCCACCGTGGAGCACACACCGTTGCTAACTTTGCCCCCGCGTAGCCGAGGAGGGTCCCACGGGGGTTCCACTTGGGCAGCCCAAGCCGGGCAAGCCCACGCTTAGCCGCCGTGGAGCCCACGTCATTGCATTTGGCCTCCGTAGAGCTGAGGTGGGACCCACGGGGGTTTTATATGGGCAGCCCACGCTTTACGGCAGTAGAGCCTACAGCTCTACTCACTTGGCCTCCGCAAGCCTGAGGATGGGCCTACGGGTGTCTTAAAAGGGCAGCCCAAGTTGGGCATGCCCGCGCTTTCCCGCCGTGGATCCCTCTTCTTTCTCAAACTTTGCCCTTGCAGAGCCGAGGTGGGACCCATGGTGGTTTCAAATGGGCAGCCCAGGTCGGGCATGCGCACGCTTCGCCGCCGTGGAGCCCACATCATCGTAATTCGACCCCTTACAGCCCACGTGGGACCCATGGGGGTTTTACATGGGTAGCCCAGTTCGGGCGTGCCCACTCTTTGCCCGTATCTTCACGAACTCTACCCCCGCATTGCCGGGGTGGGACCCATGGAGGTAATGCACGAGCAGCCCAAGATGGACATGCCCATACTTTCCTCCCCTGAAGCCCTTATTTGCACTAAATTTGCGCCCGCATAGCCAAGAGGGGGGGGGGCACGATGGTATTGCACGGGTAGCCCAAATTAGGCCTGCCGTCGAGTAGCCGAGCCGATGTGGGACCCAGGAGGGTCCCACATCGGCCGAAAACCCCAAGTTTGGCATGCCCACGCTGCGCCTACGTGAGACAAACGTGGGTTTCGCTGGGGCTGCCCGAGCGCCCGTGTCCACGTGGACACCGTATGGATACCCCATCTTGTGCTAGTTGGGAGATATTATTTGCAATTCATGCAGATTCTCGTATCGATGTCTACACCATCATTTGCTTCTTTGACTTCATAACCAATTGTAGGTGACAATGATGCAGCTACGCAAAACAGTACCTAATAAATCTGTAATTTTATCAAAAAAGAAATACCACTTTTTTAAATTAATGTTTCATTTTCAAACGATGGTTTCAAGGTGTTTCATTTTCAGGCCATCTCAAAAAACAAAACAAAACAAAAAACTTTAAATGATTTCCGTTCTTCCCTGCCTTCACAAAGAATGGTACGTTTTACGTTTCAGTTAGTCTGCACATTATAAGCGCAACGTGGAGTAATAAGGCGGTTTCTAAATCCCATACTGTTTCAAGACATGTAGCCACCACCGGTAGAGTGCAGCTGCGTTTCCTAATAAAAGCGAAAACAGCCTTCAAAAGAACCAGGGCTTTATGATCATAATCCAATGAGAAGGGGAACAAGGGGGAATAATGACAAACATAAATCTGCAAACAGATCTAGGTGTTACGTTAACAATCCCTGGAAAAAGGGGTTCTCTTTCTTCAAGGATTATTATCCTTATTCTTGTCCACATCGCTTTACCTTTGCATTAATTGCATTATCATCATAACATTAAACGTGCAGGCTGTTCAACCTTGCTGAAGCCAGAATGGTGGCGGCTGATAAAACCCGCTTGCTCTACTGACGTCTAACTCCTGGTTTTGCTCAGTTGGTAGAGCGCTCCAGTGGTGATGGAGAGGTCCCTGGTTCGATACCAAGGATGGGCGGATTTTTTTAGTCGTGCACCAGTCTCCTAGCGATACTTAGAGATTTCTATTTGGTCTTTGTCCCCTTATTCCCCTTCTCCAGTATTTGAAATTGTGATCCTTGCCCAGCTTACTTGCACCTTTGCATTAATTGCATTACCGCTGAGAAAGGCTTATTTGAAGCTTATACATTTCCACCACAGAGACACACAAGAAAGATGTAAGACTTTCGCAATGCCCGCTTCAATATTCTTTGCCATTGATCAATCGCTTTTCAAGTTGTTATTACCCGCATTTATCTAAGACGGCACCAGAGATTCATTATACCCCATTGAAAAGATATATGAGACGGACACGTACACGTTGTACTGAACGCATTTTTGTGGATAACCATAGGCAAAACAGTTGGATTCTAGGATGTTGAAGTAGATCTCTCCGACGGCGTCAGATGTCGCGTTGCTTACGTTCAACAAGCAGTTGTAGAGCTCGCAGTCGTCCCGGCAGTTCGTCCTGAAATTCCGAGGAAAAATGAAAGCAACTTGCGTGAGAGTATAAATAAAAAGAACATGATACTTTGCCGCAATTGTAGTATTATCGTTTTCGCTGATCCTAAGTACTTGCCTTCTAATACACCGCAAGGTGTCAGGTTCTTCCCAATAACTTTGATGGCGGGGAGGGTTGGGGGAGGGGGGTGAAGGCATACTTTTTCTTATGCCCTTTCAGCAGCCTGTGAATATACGCTGCACCGACTCGGAACTTTTTTCACTAACCCTTTTTAAATCAAATCGATCATTGGGCATCCTGGTAAGCATCTTGATTCGCTTTTGTTAAAAGGTTAGTGGAAAAAAACAATGGTCGATGCCTCGTGCCCCTTCCCCAGCCACATAAAAGGGACGTGATACAGGCCATCCTTGTCCTTCACAAAACAAACTAAAAATGAACTTAAGTCGAGTTAATGGTTTTGGTTGTGCACCGCAGAGAATTATACATCCAGTATTTTCGTAGACAACCTCAAAAGTTTCTGCATCTACCTTTTCATTAAACACACTCTGAAAGAATCCTTGATATCTACGGCAAGTGTTTAGCAAGCAATGAGGACGGATAAATGTTTAAAAAATATATCTCCAGGACAGAGCCCCGCAGAATATTTTAAATATTCTCCGCTCGCTCACTGCCACATTGCAGACATCATTATTTTTCAAAGCGTTCATCTGCATTTGTCATTCTTTGAATCTCCATCCGTATATAGCCGTAATGAGCTATCCGAGTATTTCGCGGGAAATGTAATTAATTCAATTGCATTTTTAGCTTGTTAAAGACAGGAATGATTGCCCTCACATAGGTTAGAGTCTTTAGTGTCAGGCTTATTCATAAATGAACATTTTCTTATTTATAATTTCGGAAATGGCTTCTCCGAGAATTCCACAAAAAGAAAAAACTAAAAAACTATCCACGCAAATTGTTTCTTCTCAATTATGGAGTTTTTGTATATCGCTTTCGGCGTCCCGCAACGCTCTCCGCAACCAGCTACGATATCCGGAACTCTACAGTCAAGGCCATCGTCGCTCAGGGCGGTAGAGGCTTCTTCGATGCGGAGGGCTTAGCGGAGGGCCTAACGCGTTCTACGAGAACTCCCTATTAACAAGTTATGTTTTACTATGCAATAGCTCAATTATGTTATTTCTTTGACACCTTCGTAGCTCACTCACTATCTCTGCTTAAGTAATTACTGTGGCAGCCCCACTAATCTGAAGTAGAGGTATTGAATCCCGATTTCTCACATTGTGAAAATCTGGAAATTGGTGACGCCGTGCTCCGACTGAAAGGGTGCTATATTATCGGAAGAGTGGTCGTGAGTACGGCAGCACATGTCCGTTCCTCTCTGGCTCCCGAGGTCGTCGTAGTTCTTGGCAATATTTCCGGCTCCGCACCATTTTGTTCCTGCACAGTCGGAAACTCCGTCTATACGATGTTTATGATGCGGACGCTTTAAATCCTCGTCATGACTGCGATTGAAAGGGGCGGGAGGTGCAACAATTTCTGTACTTTCACCAAAAACCGCCTAGAGTGATTCCTTGGCGTTCGTACCATAAGAGCCACGCGTTAATCTTTCTCTACATACAATTACAGTTCCAAAAATCAATCCAAAAATTAAAAAAAAAACGTACAGCGTTTATTTGTTTCTGTGTGGCAGACGCCTGTTCTCCTGAAGTCCGACCCGAAGTAAAAGAGTAAACGGTAACCAAAACAGACCCAAGACAGTACGCCGCGACAATATCGATCCTGGCGTCTCGTCGCCGTTTTCCCCAGCATTCCTACGACCAACCGCCGTTAATGCGACATCCGACAGTGTGGCATGCCGGCTCTTTTCACGCAATTTCTTGAAACATCGGAACGAATTTGGATGGTTGAGTGAAATGCGAAGAGCAAGTCGTCTGCTTCTTGAGCAGGAATTACGGTGACGTCAGAACAAGGCCGAGCTCTTATTCGCAGATTGAAAAAATAGGGGGTAGACCTCAAAGCATGCAGCATTGAGATCTACCAGCTATTTTTTTTTCAGTCAGTCAATAAAAGCTCGGCACGGTACTTACGTACCCCCAACTCCAGCTCAAGAAGTAAACGACTCGCTCTTTGCATAGGACGCCAAACACACTAATCGGAGACGTGTTCCAGGCACTAGTAGTTTCGACTTAAGTGAGGTCCAGTACAACCTACTTTTTTTAAGAAGGTACTATAAATATACGTACATAAACTCTGAACATAAAGATGGTGTGAAAAACGTCTGTCTGAATTAATTTGAGCGGTTTAATCGTACATTACGTAAACATTTAAAGAGAAAGGAGGGGGGGTTCACATTGAAACATAAGGTTCCACAATTGGGCACCCTTCCCTTCGATGACTATTTGGCTTTTCTTCGAGGAATTCTAGCTCTTAAAAAGGAAAAACAATTAACCCGGCGGAGCTGCACCTTAAATGGCTGAATGTACAACCGATAAACTATTTTTTTGTACCAACGATTTAGGATCCGGGGCATTTGCCTGTGGAGAAAAAAAGGCAAAGAAAGCAAGTGAAAAATAGACCCCAAATATATTTTCCGTCAGGTAGAAAAAAAAAGTTCAATTCCTGAAGTTCCATCTCATTTCCAACTCCCTGCATCAACTACAACTCAAAGCTATAATTTGGGTAGTAATGTGCATACATCATGACGTTATGCATTACTTTGTGCGATTAGCACTATTTTTGCATATGCACTTGGGTTTCTGAATTTTGCTTACAACTTATTCTGATTTTGTGTAGGTACGCCAAATAAAAAAAAAACAAAAAAAAAAGACAGAGTGACTGCCTTGAATATAAAAAAAATTGCAATTAAAAAAAAGGCTTATTTATCAATTTTATATTATTTTTCTGCCTTACCTGGGTATATGAGGAGGCTCTGCAAGGTTTTGAGGATAAAGTCGAAAATTGATTTTAGTGGATCCTGCGTGCCGTTTTCCGTGCTATTGTCGCACAACTCCAAGAAGTACTGCATTTCATCTTGCTTTACGTTCGTCACTATTTCCTTCGGCGTGACGTTCAGTACGGTGTCGATGAGATCTCTGCAGAACATCAGGTACGTCATGGAATTTTGCAACTCCCTCGGTGTGCATTCATTGCCATTTCTTCCGGCGTATTAAAACATGCTAATCATTTTACGAAACAAAAAAGGACATAAGAACGAGGAGAAAAGAATATTGCCGCGTACATGATCGAGAAGATATGTTCTCCGTTCATCTGGAAGGTTCGAATATGCTCTTACCCCGAGCATAAGTGGAAAGGAGGGCAGAATGATCCCTACACAGTCTCGCCCTTGCTCTTTTTTGAGCTTTCTGGGTGATATATCCGAGATGACGTGCATAGTAGATAAAGAGCCGTGCACGGTATTGTGGGTGCATTCACCGATTCTGTCTCGCGATAGCCAGCTGTTAAGCCTAGTTCACATGCAGCGGTTTTGGCCCCAGAGCGGCGCGATTTCTGGCGTCGCGGCGCTCCTGCCAGCACCAGCGGTTGAGTGGCACGAGCGCCGCGACGGCAGAAATCACGCCGCTTTAAGCGTGTTTCACATGCAGCGGTTTTGGCCCTAGAGTGGCGCGATTTCTGCCGTCGCGGCGCTTTGGCCAGCACCAGCGGTTGAGCGGCACGAGCGCCGCGACGGCAGAAATCGCGCCGCTCTAGGGCCAAAATCACTGCATGTGAAACACGCTTTAGGGCCAAAATCGCTGCATGTGAAACACGCTTCACGCTGACCAGACTTGTGCCCGTTACTCCAAAAAAGTAATTAATTACAATTACAATTACTTGGCCTAAAAAGTAGTGGATTACCGTTACAAATTGCTCCCCGTAAAAAGTAACTGATTAATTACTTCGTTACTTTACTCAATTACTTTTGCGTTACTTTAAAGAAACACGAAAAATACCTGCAAAATCTTTTGCGTGTTTGTGGGGGGAATTTCGGGCCCCATCAAAAATAAAACAGATTCAGTACTATATCTACCGATTATTTTAGGATAATAATTTTACGACGGTGGATCTTTAAAGCTCTAAAGGACTGGAACAGGTGTTCGATATAAACGAATCTAGCGCTGTCCACCGGGACAGAACTGAATCCCATGAACATGTGATGAATGCACATGGGTGGCGGAGGCACGCACACCATTCGAAATATGGCACCGGGAAACTTTAGAACACGACTCTCCCGAAGATGTGGTTTTTCTACGATTGATATGTATTGCCTCAGTAGGGGCTGGTTTAGCCACTAAAACCAACAGGCTGTAAGACCTACATGCGGTATTTGCGTTTGGGCAGATTTCAGAGTACCGCTTGTAGAAGGTTGTTATCCGGCTTTGACCTACTTGATCTTTTTTCTTGATCATCAAACTAATCAAAACCGAAACTTCACACGAAATATTCATCCACAATCTTTCAAGTAAGTTGATTTTCCCGTTTAGAAAATATTAAAAAAGCACAATTGTCAATGAACAGCAGGCTTCAATGTACCTCACGCGTTTACTGCCGCCTTACGCTGCTTTAACGCCTGTGTAGGCACCTTACAGTGTCCAAGTCAGCCACTGTTTATTCTCAGAAAACTCGGGCTGGTGTTCCCTTTCCCTAAAATGTCGGAGTAAGTTCCCGCAGGCACAATTCGCTGACGAGAACCCCAACATTCTCGTTTCTAGGAATATGGGTTCGGCTTCGAAATCCCAAGTCATTTTGGCTGTGCTCCCCGGCCACCTTTTCGCCTGCTGTTCAAAGTTACTGTTTGAACTGACAGTAGTGTTGATGCTACTTTTTTTTCTGTTCCAATGAGCTGCTGCCATCGCTTCCTTATGTTTGGGCCTTACGCATCCGCTAGTGCGAAGTCAAGTGACAGAAGCCACAAAGCTGGTTGGTCCAGCCAGTATTTAGCTTTCACAGCGCTGTCAAAGACGAACAGGGTCAAGGTCTTGTTACAATTTCTTTTTTTGTCTGCGGGGTGGGTGTACGGGCTCTGGCTGGGCTGTCGCGGTTTCCGTGAATTCCTTTCCTTCGCCAGCACTAGATCTCTTCGTGAGCGAACCCCCGTTGTGTCCTTGGATCGCCATTCTTCCACTCTATTTTTCTCTTTGACGGGCGGAAGAATTGTAACAAGTAATTTCAGTAAAGCGTTACTGAAAAAGTAATGAAATCAGATTACAAATTACATTTTCAAGAAAGTAAAGGATTAATTACAAAATTACTAGAAAAGTAATTAATTACAAGTAGTTCCGTTACTTCTAACGGATTACTTCCAAGTCTGACGCTGACGCACCGTCCCTTGCTACTTCCGTCGTCGACGCTTGCTGCTACTTTCCCGACGTGTGTTATCTTTTTCGTTTCTGGCACAAGTTCGCACGCTTAAATCTTTAGTTCATTCCGTTTTCTCCTACCTCATCGCTGTCACACGTTACATTCTGGTGGAGGTGCGAGGTAACGCAACCCTTAGAGCGTACCCCTACGTGTGACTGCAGTGCTAGCTCTCTCCTCAGCGAAAGAAGACTTTTGAAAGAGGAAGCCGACACATGAGCAAGCGCCGACGCACTCAAAAGAAGTCCCCGGAGTTAGGTCCCTTGCCAGCCAAGAGCAAAACTAGCCATGACCACCCCGCCCGTCGTCGTCCAACCCGTCGCTGCACGTACGCCCGCGCCCTTCTACCGTGAGCTTTTTGAATACGTCGAGGACTGACTACTGAAATACAAACAAGTGGCCCGGCACAACCTATGGATGAAAGAAAAACGCCTGCAGAATCTGTACTTCGCGCACAAAGAAACGGGCGGGTACTGGTTTGAGAATTACGAGACCTCCTTATCCTTTTGGACCGCCTGCCAAAACGAGCTGAAACAGACGTTCACCAGCCACCATTGACGGAAGAGGGCCGAAGACCTTCTTCAAGGGCGAACCCAGGGCCCAAACGAAACTGTCATGAGCATCATTGAAGGTCCGGCGCCTAAGCACCCGTGCCGACCTTCGGGCCACTGACGAAAAGAAGCTACGAATTTTGATGCGCGGTGTGAGAAATGACATTTGGGGGCCTCATGTGCAACCCACCGACTACCACCGAAGCCTTCGTCAGTGATGTAACGAATATCGAGCGCTCCCTCCAAGCCTGCGCCTCCTATTGCCAGCGAATTCTCGCCGCCGCTGCCCTCTCGCCCTCCTGCTGCGAAACCCCGGACCTCCGCGACATGACCGGGACGTCGTCCCGGAAGAACTAAGGAAACTCCTACTTGCTGCCGCAAGGCCAGCTTCGCCCTCAATCGCTGAGGTTGTTCGGGAAGAAGTCCAGAAAGCGATCCAGCGGAGCTTCTCGTCAACGCCGCTCCGGAACCACCGGCCCTGAGCTACGCAGACGCAGCTCGTCACCCTACTTGCAGGAAGTACTCGGTGGAACCTCGACGAGAGGCCCTTTCGCCACTCTTCACTGCCCACCAGGATCAACATAGGCTTCGATAGACCGACGTGTGGAGCACTGCAGAACGGCACCCAATATGCTTCCATTGTCATGGGGCTGGCCATGTCTATCGCCGCTGCTACTCCCGCCAGTTTGGGCTCCGAGGTTTTCAGCCGAGCGACCCACACCCAAGGTACGCCGAGTGATCTTGGGACATCGACAAATACCTCCTCCAGTCGCAATTCCCGGGACCATCTCCGCGCCGCTGTTTCCGTTCGCCGTCACCCCACTACCCGGCATCGCCTCCACTTGGATCCCTCTGAGAGAGCCTGTTTGCCTGTGTCTCGCCGGGAAAACTAGAAGCAGGTACCCCTGGAGGTAAAGTTGCCGTAGGCCGACAACGTAAACAGCCCCCAAATACGACAGAGAGCTCTCACTCTTGCGACTCCACGTATCAAAACGACGCTTCCGGAAAACAGTGCCAATAATCTCAACGTTGTCGTCGACAGCCACGAAGCGTCGGTACTCGTGGACATCGGAGCGGACTAGTCCGTTTTGAGTGGGAGATTCTCGACGCCTCCAAAAGGTTACGACGCCATGGGACGGACCTCAAATACCAACCGCTGAGGCCACCTCATTGCAGCAGTCGGAAAGTGCACCGCTCATGTCGAGATTCACGGCAAGGCCTGCCCGGTGAAGTTCGTTGTTCTACTGAACTGCGCTTAGGACGTTATCCTTGGGATGGAATTTCTATGCGAGGGCGGCGCTGACATCGACCTAGAAGAGAACAAGGTGACGCTCTGAAAAGTTGTCCCAACAACGGAGAAGTCCAAAGTAACGGCAGCAGCGGTAGGAATTGGCGTCGCATTTGACGCTCGAACGCGGCGTCGCACCTGCCGCCGCGTTCGAGCGTTCTTGTACCCACAGGGACCAATGCAGCCACGTGAAGGGAAGCTCTTCTGGTAGGCAGCGTTCAACTGCTCCTGGGAAAAGGAATTGGCGTCGCACGAGGCATTGCGGATTTCCAAGAAGGGCGTGATACTCTTCTCGTGTTGAACTGCCAACAGGTCGACGCACCTAGTGAAGTGTATACCTCCGTGGGATACCTCAAGCAACTTAAAGCGTCAGCCACCATTACTAAAATATCCGAAGAACTTTCGCCGTCGCAGTCTAACAGGACGCCACCTTCGCAGCGGGATGTCGAGCCCGAGCTGCACGCTTCAAAGCGGCGGCGGCTAGTTGACCTTCTCAGCGAAGTTCAGCGGGTGCTCCGCGACGTCATCAAGGATGCGACAAGCCAAGGTAGCAAGGCACCACATCAATACTAAGAACAATGATATGCCTATTCACGTGTTCCTATACCGGGTATCCTTAAAAGAAAGGGAGGTGATACAAGAACAGGGTCAAAAAATACTCGACGACGACATTATTCTACCTTCATGCAGTCTATGGGTGTATCCAGTTGTTCTTATAAAGAAGGACGGAACACTGAGGTTCTGCGTGGACTACCATCGACTAAATACCGTGACAGAAAAAGATGTATACCCGCCTCCCCGAATCGATGATACCCTAAATTGGCTGCGCCACGTTTAATGTTTTTCGTCAATGGAGGTGTAGAGCGGCTACTGAAAGATCGAATTCGACGAACGAGATCGCAAGAAGGC